TTGGGGTGACAGTTGTGGTCCGAATCTTATCCAAAGGATTCTGATCAGCAGACTCATCTAGATCAACAGCGTGATCGACCGTTCGTGGAGTGATTTCGTGCTTATTGTTACAAACTAACTCTGGCTGGTTATTCACTGTAATACTACCATGCAATCCTATCGCTTCAAGTCTTCTTACACGACGTTGACAGGGCGTAAGGTCTGGAGTGACTTTTATACTTTTGTATGGAATGAGTGAGTAGATCTGTCTGACTTTTTTCTAAGGCGTTTGACTTTGCAGTTAACGTTCAGCATACCGCATGCTCTAAGGCAAATATCCCTCAACTTAGATGAGTGTATGCGGTCGTGGAGGTTATAAGCAACTGCATCGAAGGAGGACATCACTCTTTTCGTCACTTCTTCAGCCACAAACTCCAAAATACACTCAGCTATAGTGAGTTGCTCAAGATTCCTAACAGTGTTAGGGCCCCATATATGTGTGAGGGGTGCTAGTTGCTCAAGTCTGCCGTTTATTTCGGCTAGAGAGTTTTGTAGTTAACGGATGTCAGTACGATATCTATCAGTATTTTCGTGTGTATTAGACGAACTATTGGACTCTTTAGTCTTTGAAATTTTAGATTTAAACCTTGGTAGAACGTACTGTCTGGTGGACTGTGTCGACTTTTCGATGCACGTGGGTATAGTGTCTTGTATGTCAACCAGTCTTACCGTTGGCATACTGCAAGCCGTGATGGAGGGGCAGTAACATGGGGAATCAGATTATGAAAGTGACATTTGTGTACAATACGCATATTGTTCATTTGTTAAAGGTTTGAGATTGTCAGGTACTGAGTCGTCAGTCATAGGGGTTACAAATTTAGACCTTTTATTTAGCTTAGAAGTTGGTGAAATTTCTCTTTTACTGGAGTTATTGGCCATCATTTGAAACTGGATGAGTACAAAGCTCGTCAAATCAAATATAATATCCGAGTATTAGTAGTTGTTAAGTATTAACCTGGTTAATACAAGGATCAGAGACTATGAGTATATAATAAATTTTAGATCTAACCTAGTGAGGTCTCCAGGGTTAAGTACTAGGACCTTAATTTACATAAACCATCTTCTAAACAGGTATCATCAGATTTATCAATTCTCGCTGACGATGTGAAACTTTGGTAAGACGTTTACAACCAAGAGGATAAACTGGAATTTCGGGAGGATCTGACTAGCCTTCATAGCTGTTCAGACAACAACGGACTTAAGTTTAACCCTTCAAAATGTAAAGTAAGCCATCTGTGACATAAATAATATATTTATAACAAGCAACCCAATGCTCAATTTATTTTAAATTATCAAATCAAACCTTGGTAATGATACCTGCATCTGTGACATGTTGCAGACTACAGTTACAACTTGAGCGACTCCCCTCTAGTGGTATCCCAAGTACATAAAGATCTAGGGGCGTTGGTACCCTACGTTCTGTAGTCTTACGCTAATAGTAACAAAAATGCCTTTCGAACAAACTCTGCATTACTAACACTGAAGCTCATTTTTGGCCAGTTCGATGGAAGAACGTCCAACATAATCTTCAACGGTTCCATTCGTCCCCATTTGTAGTACGGAAACATGGTATCCCCTCGTTTACTCTAGAAGGATAAAAAACACCTAAGAACTTATCCAACGGCTAGCCACGAAATCAGTTCAGGAACTCAAATTCAAGACTTATGAAGAGCGTCTTCAATCACTAAATCTTTACCTACTATAGTACAGGCTTCTTAGAAGTGACCTTCTAATACCCAGAAACTGGAGACACAACACAGCAGAACAGACTGTAGACAGACCTTCTACTCCTTAATAGTAGTAAAATGCTGGAATTCGTTGCCAGCCTACCTAGTCTAGGCGACTTCGCGGAAGTCCTTTAAATGGTTCAAATGGTCTAAATGGTTGTGAACGGAATAGAAGCTTTCGCTTAACAAGCTTCCGTGTCTATTAGCAGGGGATCACCAATATCTCCAGACAGGAACCTAGGTATATTGATGATAAAAAAGAAAAAAGAAATTGGTAAATCATAGTAAGATACTATCCTTAGTCCTTAAGAATAGATCAAGTCGCCTCCTAAAGGACTCCTGGGAAGTTGCTTGGAGCAGCTCAGCCGAAAGCGAATTCCAGCATTTGACAACTCTTAAGGAGCAGAAGTTGTGCCTGCAGTCCGTTCTGCTATGTTGTAAAAGTGAGTCCGTTGTCGTTTGCCCAACTTTGAAGTCGAGTCAGATCCTCCTGAAGTCCCTGTATATACTCTTGGTTGCGTATCTCTCTCTCCAAAGTTTCACGTCATCAGTTAAAATTAATAAGTCTGACGATACCTGTCGAGGAAGATTATTTATATAAATCAAGAAGAGAAGAGGTCCTAGTACTGAGCCCTGGGGGACCCTACTAGGAAATTCCATATCCTGAGATAAATTGAAGTTGACACTGACCTTAAAATGTCGATTTCTGAGATATGAAATGAGCCAATCAATTAGAGGTTGTTTGATACCCAATCGTTTGAGCTTATCGATAAGACATATATGGTTAACCCTATCAAAAGCTTTTGAGAAATCAAGGTAAATGATATCAACCTTCCTCTTGCGATCAAGGATGTTTGTCCATCTGTCCACCGCAGTCAGCAGGTTGATCATACAGGAGTAACCCTTCCTGAAACCATGCTGCTGGGGTGAGAAATTTAAGGACAGTAAATAGTCATATATACCATCGTATATCATGGACTCAGTGATTTTTGAAGGCATAGAGAGAAGAGACACCGGTCGTTAACTTGAAGGTTCGCTGCGTTGACGTCCTTTGAAAATTAGTGTGATGTGAGCCAGCTTCTAATTTTCAGGTAGTTTGCCTCGACTTAGCGAGTGTGAGAACATCACGCTAAGCGGTGTTGTCAGGACTGGAGCAGCTTCCCTCAGTATAGTAGAATGAACCATATCTGGGCCAAGAGAAATGTCTGTTCTTAGGCGCTGCAGTTTTCGGAACACCAAGTCAGCTCTCAGGTTCACTACGGAAAGTCCTGTGCAGTTGCAGATGAAACTGTCATCAGTATAGTTGATGTGGGTCGGTTGAAATGTCCGGGAGTATTGCTCAGTCAAAAGGTTATCGGCGTTGCCGTCGTTATTGGTCGGGCCATTAGGACCTAGCAGTTTGGAAACTCCGGTTTTGACTTGATGAAGAGAGGCTGAGTAACGGAATAAGCTTTTCGGGTCGGAGACAAATTTATCCATAAGCTTTATCTGGTACTGAAGCCTGTCTTATCATATAGTCTTCGTGCACATGTTCCTTATATGTTTGTATTGCTTGTACGCGCTGTTATTGTCAGTTCAATTGTATTCTGCCCAACGGTGCCTTTCGCGGCTTAACAAACAAAAAGTGCGGTTCTTGATGATTGCAGGTTGCTTGTAGCTATTGGGGACCGTTTGAGTAACTGAATGCTTTGTAGCACATAAGAGAGCGTGCAGTAAGAAGTCCCAGTGAGCATCCACATTAAGTTGAGGGTGAACATCCTACCTGTTGTAGATAGTTCTGTAGAGCCGACACGTTCAACCGTTTGAAATTCCGGCGCCTGTTGTTGTTGGGATATCTTAGCTCAGTTTTGCTGACAAAACTAAAGGCTATAACGGCGTGATCACTTCTCGATAGGGTAACCAGGATTGACAGGTTGTTAGTCAGGAATTATTCGTCTGTAAATACCCCACCTCAGAGCGACGGTGTCTGACTGTTGCTCCAACGAGTTGCCGACTTCACATTTTTGTATAATCCCAAATCCTCAATGAGGTCGAAGAAGTTTTCATCTTTAATATACGTATATTCCGCAAAGTTGACTCTAGGGAGATTGAAGTCTCCTAGAATCAGGATATGAGTGAAACCGAGACGCGTAGAGAGAGATAGTCCTTCCAGCATACGACTGTCATACTCTATGTCGGCAGCGGGCCTCCTATATATGACCACGACTAGGCACCTCGACGTAGTAGACAATCTTACAGAGCACCATATGGATTCCTCAAGATTATTAAACTCATGATTGTCAACTTGGTGTACCTCCAAGCCAGACCGTATATATATGGCTACACCACCCCCAATTCCTGCCTTTCTGTCGTTGCGAAACAGAGACATCCCGGGTCCGAAAACTGAGAAGATATCCATGTTTCAGATATTCCTATCAGATGAACCTTATTAGCATTGCTAAGTCTACGTAGCTCATCCATTTTGTTTGGTAGACTCGCGACGTTCATGTATAAGCAGTTAATGTTTTCATTTTGAAACGCGCAAGCTTCTCCCTGTTTGTCTGTATGAGCCTTACGTGAATGGACAGGTAGCCTACCTATATAAGGTTTGCCGTATTGGTAGGCCCTGTACTTTACACGTTTTTACCATCAAGACAGTCCACAAGTGGAATGGTCAGCTCCAACTTGCCTTTGTGCTTGATCCTGGCGTCATGTGGCCCGTCCGAGTGCATATGGATTCCAGTCGGCAACCGACGTCTGTTGGCACGAAATGCTTCAAGAGTTGTAGCCGCAATATGTGAGGATGGGAAAGTTATCCTAATTATACAGGGTCTAGTATCACAGTCCTTCTTGTCTAGTTTCGTCACATGTTGAGCCAGTATGTTTTTGAGCCTCAAGGACTGTTTGATGAATTTCCATTCCCGAATGTCAGAGTTTGCTTGACTAGGGTCCGTGTTTTCCGGTACACCTTGCAAATTACATTTCTTCCAATTTTTTCCCTTCCTCTTTTGTTGACGATATACCTAGGTACTTGCCTGGAGGTATTGGTGATCCACTGCTACTACTTACGGAAACCCGTTAAGCGAATGCTTCTTCTATTCCATCCAAAACAATTTGAATCCTTGTATGTTAAAGAATTTATTCAGAGGTTGTAATTAAAAACTTAGAAACGCGTAAAGAAAAAAATTTTTACAAAAGATCATTAGAGTTTCTAATTTGCGTGAACTGGTTTGCTACTATGATGCCAGAAGGTTTGTTTGTCTATGCTAATCCGCTTCTTGGGTATTTTTGGATTTAGGGGTCATATTGTCAAATACTAGAGTTTTGAAAAAAAATGGTAAAAGAAGGCATTCTGAGGGATTACCAATCAATGGGGGCTTTAAAGTATGAAGAGTTTGTTTATTATATGGTCTTAAGTGAAAGCTCCGAGTTACTTTTGAAGACTCTAGGAGATATATGCAGTGCAACTAGCTTCATGGAGGAAGAATCAATTAGACTAGTCCAATATGAGACGGAAATGCGGTGTCTGCTTGATGAGAGGTCTTTTATCCTCAACCAGCTACAGAATGTCGAGCAAGATATATCTACGGTTAGTTCCTAGTGTTTAATTATTTTTTAGTAGTACTTTTACGCTCCCCAACCTCCCTATTTTGGGGGGACTTGAGGTGAATTTTGAGGTTTTTGTGCCATTTCTTTAGAATGTACGGAGTTTTCCATTGCAGCTTCTCCAAAACGTAATCGAAACGGACAGAATTTCCACCAATATAGAGAGATTGGGTCATATTTATCATTGATAAATGTTCCGTGTCGGGAGTTGTTTCCACATAGGTATTTATAGGATTGGTCAAGTATTATCTGCAAATAAGCACCTCTAACTTGTCAGACGAACAAAGGTTTTGCTGGGGACACTATAATTTACGGACAAAGCAATCAGGCACAAGATAACTGGTCTCGAATTTTGGCGTGAAATTCACTGGTCCATGTGGATAAATAGGGTTTTTGCATTTTAGCTGATGTCAGCTCATGATGAGAACCCTAAATCTAGTTCCTAACCTTGACCATCAACTGTAAACCATAATTCTAGTTCATAACCATCATTTGGTCCTAGTTATTAAGTGGACGGTTAAGGTCGTTCATAACTTATAGTTTTGCTGTCACGGTTCACCTAGTCTCCGGATTCTGGAGAATTTTAGGGTTTTTCCCAGTCATAAAAATTTCTTCAAGGTCTGGGGAAAAATTTGGGGAATACCCGAAATTTCCCAAAGTAACCTGAAATGGTAGGAAAACCACAGACAAGGGGGAATTTCAAGGTTTTCGTCGCATTTCCCTAAGTTCTCTATTTCAAATTCTCAAGAATCCAAACGTTATTAAATTTTTCGCAAAATCAGAAGATTCGGTCAGTGTTCTTACAATATGTATTAAGTCTTGACGCTTTGTTTAGCCTCATCCACAGAACTGATAAGTTCAGTAAGCACTCTGACGTAGTTTTTCACTGGTATCTAAAAGTATCGTTTAAATTCCAGTTTTATATATATGTTTTCGGAGAGGTACTTGGATAGCCGAGTTAGTTTTGTAATGACAGACTGCTTGTAGCATACTATTTGAAACTTCGTCGCAGATATCAATTGAAAAATACTTTATTTGCATTTCAATTTATGTGGGTTGTTTTGTGATAGTGCATGCTAATTACTGTTTCGAACCAGCTTGTAGTAATTCTGGGTTTGACTTCAAAATTTATCTCGATGTGCTAATGTAATATGACAGCTCGGACCCATGTACATGTCTCACATTCTATCTTGCGTACGATTGACTGACACAGTATATACTTGGATTATGATCATGCCCCAGTGAATATACGCATCTGTCTGCATTTCACTAAACGTAGGGAAGCCACAGTGAGATTTCTTAGGTGTCAACTGAAGAACATCTGGAACTCAAAACAATTGTCAATCAAAGTCAAGGTCAGAATTCTCAATACAAATATCAAGACAGTTCTACTGTATGGGATGGAAACCTGGAGAACTACGAAAGCCATCACCCACAAGATACAGGTGTTTATTAACAGTTGTCTACGCTAAATACTTCGGATCCGTTGGCCAGACATTATCAGCAACAATCTACTGTGGGAGAGAACAAACCGGATCTTAGCGGAGGAAGAAATCAGGAAGAAGCACTGGAAGTGGATAAGACACACATTGAGGAAAGCACCCAACTGCATCACAAGACAAGCCCTCACGTGGAACTCTGAAAACCAAAGGAGAGAAGAAAGACCAAAGAACACATTCCGCCGAGAAGTGGAGACGGACATAAGAAAAATGAACAAAAACTGGATAGAACTGGGAAGGAAGGCAGAGTGGGTTGGGAAATGCTGGTCGGCGACCTATGTTCCATTGGGAGTAACAGGCGTAAGTAAATAATGCATTTCACTAAACGTAGGGAAGTCACAGCAAGACGATTCCTTATGTGTTAATTTGAAGATGAAAAAATCAACGACGCATTCAGGGGAAAATTAGCTAAGGACCTAGTCGGGTGTAGAGAAACAGTTCACCGTAAAGAAGCTTGGGAAGATATCTAAGCAGCCGCAAATTCAACTGTTGTATCTATCAATTACTGAAATCAAAAGTTAAGAAAACCGAGTGGGTCTCGATTGCATCTACTGAGTTGATAAAACCCCCAAAAAATCATCCCGACAAACTTTAAGAATGATAATCGGCAACTATAACTCAAACATAAACCAACAAAATATTTACCTAATGGTCGTGGGGAGCAATGAGAAACGAAAGAGATGGAGAGGGCAACAACGATAAGTTATAGCAGACAATTATTCATACTTATCAACGAAGCGGGTATTAAAATGTAAGTGTTGATGACACAATTCCATTAAAGGACGGAACTATTATATTTTTAATGTCGTCGTAGATGTCCTCCTAGGAATAACACTCTTCATCTAACTTCTCAGGAGTTGATCTCTTCCCAGGATATCCACTAGTTGACTTACAATACTCGAATGACAGTCCTGTTTAGTAAAGGTGGTGACAAAATTCACTCTTCTGACCGCTTCTATCAACAATGCAAACATGTGAGAAATGTTGCTTCAAGACTGGTCTGTGTCAGCGCTTGAACTAATGACAGGGAGTGAAGTAGTTGAGCGTGTCGATCACTTTTGGAAGTTTGATCAGTCTCGGTGGGTTGGTGCCTCACGAGATCTCGGTACGAATCCAGAAAGTTCGATTGGCCTTTGGCAACTTTCGTCACGTGTTGTGTAGGTGAGATATCCATCTGTTAACCAAGTGCATGTGAAAAATTATCTTACATCCCAGAAGAAATGCGTAGACTAAAGGTTTTTGATCGTAGGTGTCCTCGAAGCATTGCTTACGTTTCGTGGAAAGATCAAGTGGGCAGTGTGGACGATGAGCATAGGTAATTGACGATGATAGGGAGTCGGCTAATAAGGTGTATATCATTGGCTGAGGTAAAATGGTTATATATATTTTTTGCTTAACCACTGCCTACCTAGACGTGTGGTGCTTGCAAGTACAAATTTTTGGAAAAATATCTTGAGCGGCCAAACTGTGACGTTATTCATAATGATCTTTATGGATTCACTCTTCACCTTTCTCTCGATCTTAATTCCCAGTGTTCTTTAACACATACCTTTCCATTCTGTCTTTTCAAACGAAATAGGACTATTTTAACGTGTCGAATTTTTTTAAAATTCCGTAAGTTGGGGTTTATTTACTCAGCTTTGAGACACATTTCGCATAAAGTCTTCTTAAAACTAATTGGGTTAGCCGGGGTTCGGACTTCGGGACATGAAATAGTAAGTCTACTACCTTGACAACTAAGCCGTTGAAATGTGCCTCAGATAAACCTGATTCTCCTGGCTTCATACAGAGAAACTATTTGACTTGATAACCAACGTCGCGGGCTGATCCTAGCTAGAAAAACCCTCGTAGATCAGGGAGCACTGAACAACCGTTTCGCCTTGTTACTGGACTCCGTAGCTGTACGGAATTTTAAACATTTATTTAGGCATATAAACATTGATGCAAAAAGGGACCAAATGTGTTTACACCACACTTTATCATTCGATTTGTGTGAGGGTTGGAACGCTATTTAGGTGCCCAGATCGGGAGGGCAACACCCCGAGCCTATGACCTAAAGTTCTAATCCACAAGGCAGTGGAGCAACGTTAGATTCAGTCCTATGGTAGCCGGTGACCAACAAAAGGTTCAAAATCCATTTGTTTCTGGGGCGGATATACACCAATAGTTAGGAATCAGGGTTTTCCAACTCCCTTAGATGAATCCTCCATATACACCAACCCGTTTAAGGCGCCGGACATTCACTTCTCGTCTTCTCAATTTCGTAAATAACACCCCCGTCATGAGAAGGCAAAGTAAGACTTCCCTGGCAAAAGCTGTATATGTGTGGTAATGTGAGAGCATTTCGAGAGGGAGAGTGGACTCTCCTCACCCTCGGTCGTACCAGAGTATTTGGGAGCACGGGTACAGCACCCCACGGGGTGGCACCCAGGACCTCCGGTTCCCGCAGCGGAAGCTTAACTTCTAGACCACTGAGATGTTATCCGGTGGTTTGCTTCAATCAATTCGGTATATCGTCTAACCATTTTTAATGGTTAGTTAATTATGATTCTTCGGCAGTGTTAAGTATGGTATTAAATAGGCTTCACAACTACACCGATGTAGTAATAATTTATTTGGGTTGGATTATAATCACTAGTTATGTTTTCTGTAATGTTTTATTATTTTTTGAATAAAGTATTTATTAACGTCAAATTGCTTTTTACAGCTGGGAGCAATAGTGCGTCAGGCTTGGTCTGATCGAAACAAGAGTGTTTTTTGCATTCAAAAGCTGTACGGTGAATATAGTCAACTTTTAAATAACATAAACAAACACAGAAAGGACTTTGATTTAGCACCTTTGCGGAATCCATACAAACCTCCCAAAGAAGTGTTGGAAGATCACAAGTAAGCCACATGTATACCTCGAAAAGTCAAAAACCTGAGGGTGGTCATTTTATTTTGTTTTAAAAGGTAGGCTTAGTTATCTAGTTAGTGTATTCTTTGTTCCAGGTCCAGTATACAGATACCAGTAGCCATTTACTGTGGCTATGCCTTGACATTCACTCATTCTCAAAATATCAGAACTTTAAACATAAAAGAAGAAACTATTCGAACTGGCAACCGACAAGGTCATCAGTAAATGTTTATTATATTGTAATCATTCACTGTTGCTTGTTTCGAGTATATATTTCGACTCTGACCATGCTTTGTTCTAAGATCTTTTGTATCTACTTCTTAGTGACGTCAAACACATTAAGAAACAAAAGCAACTCAACGTGTCGTAAACGGTGGTTGATAACAAACGTTAACGATGTGACATCAATGATAAATAATAGTATGCCACTGTTTGGTACTATCAATGAAAAATAGATAAAATGTAACTAATTAGTGAAAATATCTTATTTAAATACAGATCATTGATTTACTCTCAAAACAGTTGGCTGGAATAATACACGTAACACTGAACGGGTTCAGGTTGGCTCCAATTAAATTTCATTTACTCTCTATCCATCAGCAACATGAGTAGATGAAAACCAATATTAATTATTAGTTGTTCTAGTTCATAAAAACAAACTGAAAGCTTGCGATTTATCTTTCCTACGAACACGTTCTGTAAAACAGTTAAATCAGTTTTGGCGAAAATATAGTCCAAAACGCGGTCATTAATACTTCATTTGTCTATCAAGTATAGATTAGTAAGGAAATATGAGATACAATTGGTTATAAAAAGGAGAGTAGAATATACTAAATATTGATGAGGTCGAACAGTCGTACTTACGAAGAGTACAATCTTCATCGGCTTGCAGTTTAGTAGAGATGGGCCATACTCAAGTAAAATTTATGGTTTTTGACGTTTAAAAGTAAGATGTAATTGGTCACTTCGGTCGTAAAAATAACTAACAGAAGTCCTCTGGTAATAAGGTCCAGGAAATTATCTTAATAGCAATATTTTTTGAGACCGTAGGCTCCATAATCAACCAAATCTTAAGAGCCAAAATCTAGCAAACATAAGCAGATTGTGACGTATAATATGAGTATATTCCCGAGACCCTTGTTTTTCCCAGACTGGAGATCTTGGACAGGCTTGATGTCACCCAGCTTCAGTCGTATTTCCTGATTTAAAGACAAAGTTTTAGTTCATTACATCTTTTGATAAGTGATTGTGACTAGTCAGATTGGATCACGTCCAACTCCCAGATTTGAGCTAAAACATTAGTCAACCTAGTCGCTAAAGCTGGACCACCATCCTTAAAGACCTCTGGAGCCAATCTATCTGGACCAGCTGCCCCTCCTCGTTTTAGACTAACTATAACCTTTTGAACTTCAGCCAGAGTTGGAGGACCTACTTCAATGTTCCATTCACACTGTCTGAGAATGGTGGGTAGTTGTAGAGCAGATGAAGGTCAGCTGAACTGCTCCCTAAACTGTTCCACCCATCGTCTCAAACGTCTAGCGTGAGAGCAGATAAGAATGCTGTCTTTTTCCGAGATTGCCTCACATTTGACTTCTTAATTTCAGTTTCTTTTATTAGTCTGACAAGCTGTCTGGTGTTACCTACAGCCGCTGCCTTTTCCATCTCTTTTGCTTTTGTTGCCCACCACTGCTCACGATCATTCCTTAGACTTTTGCTTAACCTAGATCTGACTTGCTTTCGCTCATCATCGTGTTCAAAGCCTGATGGGATGAGTTTACGCGAATCCATCAGTGCAATAGACCTTGAAGAAATCTATTGGTTCTTTGTAACCCTTTGGTTTAAATCACTAGTAGATGTCACTGCTGTTCCCACAGCTGATTGTATATCTTTCCAAGCAACATCTGGGTCAGTCTCGTTTTCAGAACTACCTAAGTGTGACTTCAGTCTTTCCTGGAACCTACTTTTGGTTTTCTCGTTACTCAGTTCAGTTCTAATGGGTCTTTTTAATGTGGCTTTTTTTGCGTCCAGTGAGGCGCAAACATATGCGTGCTCGTATTAGGGCATGGTCGGAGTCCAAGCAGGTATTCCAGAATGAGCGACAATCTTCTATCGAGCCTCTTCAACGATGACTGATGGCAATATGGTCTATTTGAGTCCATCGTTGATTTGGTACAGGGGGTCTCCATGTTAGACGATGTCTCTCCTTATGCTTAAAATTTGTGTTTGCTAAAAATAAACGATTGTCTGAGCACAGTTGCAGCAGACGATCACCATTATCTGTTCTCTGTGCCGGAATACTAAAATACCCACCTGAATATCTTTCTGTTTCGTTTAAGCTACCTACCTGGGCATTAAAGTCGCCTGCTACGAGTACTATGTCTGAACGTTTAGCTTTCTGAAGAAGTTCAGACAGCTTTCTGTAAAATTCATCTTTCACTTCATCCGAACTGCAGTCTGTGGGAGCGTAGGCGGAAACGACGAAAAGGCAACGACGTGTGTCCCTATCCTTCCGAGTTCTTACCGAGCCGTTTAGCCGAACAGCGCATAGACGAGTGTTAACGGGGATCCACTTTAATAGCGCTTGTTCTGCCCTCATGCTTAGTGCTATGCCTACACCTACCAGTCGCCAGATACACGGAGGGTGTATCTCGTCGGTTCTCTTTTTTGCCGAGGTGAGGTCAAGTGAATGACCACACTAGGATTCTGTATGCGTGTTTCGGAGACACAGCGTACATCAATGGTACGAGATTCTAGGGTTTTAGCTAAGGATGCCTGTTGACCGATTTGGCATAGTGTGCATACGTTCAAGGCTCCAATGGGTAGTTTAGAGCGACGTTTCAGTAGACCTGAGACAGCGTTTTGCGCACTAGAATCGTTGGCTATGGTGATACTTGAGGAGGAAACCAAAAGAGAAAGTTTAGTGTAGAAAGTTGATGTAGGAGGAATAATAGGAATTGAAGAGAGAGGTTGTTAATGAATATAGTGGTCTTGAGTGCTGTTAGAGATATGAGGGAGGTTATCAGTTCCCGGTTGCCCACACCGTAGAAGGGTTCTTCTGGAGGTACCTGAAAACGAAATTGGATTAGAGGTGGTCATAGTAATTTTTGTGTTAGCTCCGTACTTGTTGAGACCTTACCGCCGGAAACGGATATCCGTGGGATAAGGCGAAGTGTGCATTTTAAGTTCGGCATTTTCTAGCCCCACCTCTCCTTGTGGGAAGGCAGCATCGCTGTTATGCTGGATGTCCGAAGGAAACAACTTACTGCTGTCACACCTCTGTACAGTCAGCAGTACGACTTCACCTTCGGAACTTGGATTTGTTGCTTTTAGTCTTACCGCTCTTCAACCGACCTGTCTGGCATGGTAAGACCTTGAGGGACTGTTGTTCCAGCCAGTATAGCTAAGTTGCTTTATCACGATAGGCAAGCCCGACCACCACGTCAAAGTAGCAACAACGGCTGAGGATTACAGTGTGATGGTAAATCAGTTGATGAGGTTGTGAATCTTCATCGATTGAGATGGTTGGGTCACGTATTACGCATACACAACCACCGACTACCACGGTGCATAATGCTGACTAGTGTTGGAGACGGTTGGAAGAAAGTTAGGGGCGACCAAATCAAAACGTGGCATCAGTCCTTGAAGTCACTGACTTCTAGTCTAGTTGCAGACTACTTGGTTGGGGTCTGCGCGATTATCGTAAACAATGGTTGGGGACTTTGTGTGACATGGCTGAGAATTGATCACAATGGCGTCGGTGTATACACTCTTTGTCTATCCTAAAACTCGTAACGATTGAGTTTCGTAAAGTGAGATAGTTCGTACTATGGCTTATTTTCTACTTTACATTTAAGATATTCATTGTTGGCCATTAGCCTAGCTATAAATGTAGACGTATCAGATGTTACAAACAACAAATTTAGGATCCTATTTACTCAGTTCAAATCAGAATCAAGAATTATCGTGTGGAATGTTAATCTCAAATAAATCCATTGTCACATTTAGCTGTAACTGAGAGTAGGATTATTTTATTTCTGAAGTCAGTCATAAAAATCATTCAAGGCTTAAGTACGTAAATTTTCAACTTTTCAGGGTCGTTTGTAGTGAGACAAATGGATTAGAAAACGAAGCAATTAAAAAATATCTAAGTCCCAAGCAGTTTTTATTGGAAAACGGGTGTGAAATGGAGTCAAAAGTACGACCAAGTAAAAAAGCAAGTCACAAAAACACAAAGTTACAGCAAAATTCAAGCATAAAAACAAGTAGCGAAGATGTCAAAGACGTTCAATTTTCGAAAAGAGATCACGGAGACGGTCAGAAACCATTGCACAATCCTAATGAGGTTCTTGCGACGGATAATTTAATCCAATCTACCGCAGAGACGGAAATTAGTAAGAATGGTAGGTTAACCTCATTCCACTGTTCACTACTGCCATCAGTTTTCAATAACCAAGTGAATCATTAGTTCTCGTACGTTTAGAAATTTATTGAAAAAAGCATAGATTGAATATTCGCTTAATGAAAGTAGCATCATAAAAACTAGTGTATAAGATTCTTGTTCCGCGGATGACGGCTGCCAAGAAATCATTCCATGAAAACCAGGGATATCCAATCGATTCTGGCTTGAATTGTTCTTCAAAGTTGTTGCCAAGTACTATTGGTGGTCTCGACATCTTTTTGCGATTTAGAGCCTTATATAATGAGGCCTCTGTGTGGTCAACCTCAAAAGTTTCAACACCTAGTGTAGAGCCTGATTTAGGAGACCAGGAAAGGACTTCGTGAATACACGTCGTCAGCGTTGTTGGGACAGAGGAAAAAGCTGTATCTAGAAGAGATGTTAGCGGCATCGATAGGATAAATTTTTAGGAATGGTGGATGGATATTATTTTTAACTAGTTGAGTGTGAGTAGTTATGACTTCACTGTCACCCACACTTTAAAATAATAGTCTTTCTTGAGAGATTCATGTAGCAAATTAGGTTAGAAGTGGTGTAGTCGATCTTTAAGGCACAAAAGCTAGGTCCAAGGTTTACTAACTCGGTACTTTTCTGATCATCGGCGCTGCAAATCTGTGTCAAGGTGAAATGTACTGTTTTTAGGACTGACCTGACCATTTCTAACCGTTCCATCCAGGCAACGCAGCGTTATCAGAGGAGCTGGTTATTCGTTAAATACCCTTTACTCCCATCACAGCTTGCGCGACTATACCCATAAACTTCATTGCTATTTGACCAACCTGCTTGGTATAACAGAACCTCAGAAAATAAACCTCCATTGGATCATTACGGTAGTAGCTACGGTTCGAAAATCTTTTACGTATTACTGGCTTAATTTGGTTTTAAGTGTTCTGTAGGTATCCAATCTTCAAGCTAAGATTGATAACAAAAACCGAAACCAAAATTTATCAGTCTTGTTAATCTTACTTTGTTTTAATTTTTCACTAGATAGTGAAGTACTTGATGATGACTTTCCCTTTAACGAAGAAAGAAATAAGCGCGAAGGCGGTGTGCACAATCGTAATTTTAGCGTTTCACCGTGGCCGAATAACGAACATTTTCAGGTTAACTTCCGCAGATATACAAGTTTGTCTGATTGTAATCTAGACCATATCAGTTCGGAATCTCCGTCAACCTCCTTACATAATCAGGTCAAGTCAGTTAGTCTAGATTTTGGTGAGTCTTTGCTCCATACAAACGAATCTCAGTTGATTGCACAATGTCCACCGATGAAAACATGTCAAGCGTGTCAACAGTTGATTCATCGAAACGCTCCAATATGCCCACTATGTAAAACTAAAAGCAGATCAAGGAATCCAAAAAAGCCAAAATCACGTGCAGTTATTCAGGTTACAGATATGCCGAATTCAGCAACAGGCGTCTCTTTGGCGTTGGGTCTGCTACGTGATCACAATGAGTAAAAATATAAATACACCATTCGCTTAACTGTTCATCTTACTTAGCGGTTTTACGACGTTCATGGTGACTTTAAACAGCTATTAAGGCTGTTTATATATATAATTGTTTTCTGTGCATTTTAAATATTATTTCACCAATAACAAAATTGCTTCGTTTATACTTTAAAAGCTTTATAATCATGTGTCCGGAAGGTAAGTGAAATCACACATTAATTCGTCGTATACACTTCGGATGATGACTACTACACTAACTCATACCTGAGATATAAGTTCCTCTTTCAGTCCAAGAATGTACGGAAACTTGCGTTTCTTGTCTCAGTGTGGTCAGCACGTTTGAAATCGAGGATGACATTCGCTATTCAGTCCCAGTGAGGTGAACTCTATGGTTTGGAAGAATAATAGTCAAAACAATTATTTATTAGGGGCATCATACCTAAAAGTCCGACAGCTTATTGGTTCACGTTAGTGTTGTTACCTTAGTTTAATCGTTGTCTTAACTAGTAATTCCTGACTATTACTCCTTGGGTGTTGATCATTTTAATTAGGGTTTAGTGATCTCACTAGTTTTTATTCTACAATTGCAATTTATTAGAGATCAAGCAGAACGTCTCTTGATATTTTTATCCCATATAGAGGCAGGTGTAGTCATAATTTAAGCATCAAGGGAATTTTAACGAATCCTTAAGTCCACTCCTCCCTTTGACTTAGCCAATCAATGTCCTTTTGAAGTGACGATGTAACCGGGACTGTCTATTTGGCTTTTTAAACATTTTAGTTGTTTGTGACATCGAATTGAAATAGATCAGTATACAGGTGGGGAAAGTAGATATCTTCCTAGCCCTTTAAATAGGACAGAAGTGACTAACAACTAGGACTAGGAACATGTCTTAACTTTTAAATCAATGCTATTTCGATACCCACAAGTTTACGTGTTCGAAAGAGTCAGTTGCACCAAATGGTTTAGTTGGTTACATGAGATAAGGTAAGTTAGCATAAAAACCATTTAGTCCGACATGTCAGTACCGACTAATTCAACATGGAGTTGTGACGTTGGATTCTGTCATCTCCAACCATTTGGGGCGAAGAAAACTAAAAGTACAAATCCAGGTAACGGAAAGGCTAACGGCCTAATTTTGGTTTGATTAATTTAGAAAATTAACGAGTTAACAGTAGGGATAAGAAATTTGCTTTTCTTATTTATCAGCAAAGTTTTACGATTTCAACATATTTTAACTCCTATGGTCCTTATACCTGGAGTTAATATTATTGTTCTCTTTGGTTCATCTTCACATCGGTTGCGTTTGAATGTGCATACTTGTACCGTCTATTTTGACCTGACTAGGATCATACGGAGTTCCTCGAAAAGGTGAACCCTCTTTGTTCCAAGCATTTGCGAGTATGTTTTTCATTTTCTGAAATAAGTAGAAAAAAAATGATATGGTCAGGACTCATATTTGCATATATACCGCTTTAATATTTGTTTAAGGTTTCTTATGACTTCGAATACTTAAGATAGGGAGATTTGTAATTTTAATAGAAGTATTACTAAGGACCATTCACTAAACTTTTAAAATCTGCGATCCTCACAGCCACCAAACAATCTTGATAAGGTAGCATATACGCCGAATGATCGTTCAATTTTAAATAATTTACAAGTTCTGGATGGCTTAACGGTGCGTCTAAGTAGTGATGAGTTCTACATAGTTCCTACACTTTTGATCTCATAAATAGAATCAACACTTACTTCTTGTTCGCTAGTAAGTAGTCCTTGGCGTTTGCGCTGTTCATCGTACATTAACTGTTGGATTTTAGCTTGCGCCTCATCGTCTAGTTCGTGCATAGGCCGAGAGCAATCAATTTTCCGAGTGTTTAGTTTGTCTTCTCCATCAAAAGCTGCTTCCCACCACCGTTCCTGAACCTTGTCAAGACACAGCTGGATCTTGATTAAAAAAATAATGACTTGAGCATACATTCGTTACAGCAGTTACATCACATAATATTAAAATGAACGAATAAGGGGTTTGAATTACACTCAGAACTCAAGATAAACAATAGTCATATCTTTGATTCAGGGAAGTACGAAACCAAATAGTCATTTACAACCAGTACCTCGTCTTAGCCAAGTACCTATACTCATCCTCCACACTGCCCACTTGATCTTTCCACGAAACGTAAGCAATGCTTCGAGGACACCTACGATCAAAAACCTTTAGTCTACGCATTTCTTCTGGGATGTAAGATAATTTTTCACATGCACTTGGTTAACAGATGGATATCTCACCTACACAACACGTGACGAAAGTTGCCAAAGGCCAATCGAACTTTCTGGATTCGTACCGAGATCTCGTGAGGCACCAACCCACCGAGACTGATCAAACTTCCAAAAGTGATCGACACGCTCAACTACTTCACTCCCTGTCATTAGTTCAAGCGCTGACACAGACCAGTCTTGAAGCAACATTTCTCACATGTTTGCATTGTTGATAGAAGCGGTCAGAAGAGTGAATTTTGTCACCACCTTTACTAAACAGGACTGTCATTCGAGTATTGTAAGTCAACTAGTGGATATCCTGGGAAGAGATCAACTCCTGAGAAGTTAGATGAAGAGTGTTATTCCTAGGAGGACATCTACGACGACATTAAAAATATAATAGTTCCGTCCTTTAATGGAATTGTGTCATCAACACTTACATTTTAATACCCGCTTCGTTGATAAGTATGAATAATTGTCTGCTATAACTTATCGTTGTTGCCCTCTCCATCTCTTTCGTTTCTCATTGCTCCCCACGACCATTAGGTAAATATTTTGTTGGTTTATGTTTGAGTTATAGTTGCCGATTATCATTCTTAAAGTTTGTCGGGATGATTTTTTGGGGGTTTTATCAACTCAGTAGATGCAATCGAGACCCACTCGGTTTTCTTAACTTTTGATTTCAGTAATTGATAGATACAACAGTTGAATTTGCGGCTGCTTAGATATCTTTCCAAGCTTCTTTACGGTGAACTGTTTCTCTACACCCGACTAGGTCCTTAGCTAATTTTCCCCTGAATGCGTCGTTGATTTTTTCATCTTCAAATTAACACATAAGGAATCGTCTTGCTGTGACTTCCCTACGTTTAGTGAAATGCATTATTTACTTACGCCTGTTACTCCCAATGGAACATAGGTCGCCGACCAGCATTTCCCAACCCACTCTGCCTTCCTTCCCAGTTCTATCCAGTTTTTGTTCATTTTTCTTATGTCCGTCTCCACTTCTCGGCGGAATGTGTTCTTTGGTCTTTCTTCTCTCCTTTGGTTTTCAGAGTTCCACGTGAGGGCTTGTCTTGTGATGCAGTTCGGTGCTTTCCTCAATGTGTGTCTTATCCACTTCCAGTGCTTCTTCCTGATTTCTTCCTCCGCTAAGATCCGGTTTGTTCTCTCCCACAGTAGATTGTTGCTGATAATGTCTGGCCAACGGATCCGAAGTATTTAGCGTAGACAACTGTTAATAAACACCTGTATCTTGTGGGTGATGGCTTTCGTAGTTCTCCAGGTTTCCATCCCATACAGTAGAACTGTCTTGATATTTGTATTGAGAATTCTGACCTTGACTTTGATTGACAATTGTTTTGAGTTCCAGATGTTCTTCAGTTGACACCTAAGAAATCTCACTGTGGCTTCCCTACGTTTAGTGAAATGCAGACAGATGCGTATATTCACTGGGGCATGATCATAATCCAAGTATATACTGTGTCAGTCAATCGTACGCAAGATAGAATGTGAGACATGTACATGGGTCCGAGCTGTCATATTACATTAGCACATCGAGATAAATTTTGAAGTCAAACCCAGAATTACTACAAGCTGGTTCGAAACAGTAATTAGCATGCACTATCACAAAACAACCCACATAAATTGAAATGCAAATAAAGTATTTTTCAATTGATATCTGCGACGAAGTTTCAAATAGTATGCTACAAGCAGTCTGTCATTACAAAACTAACTCGGCTATCCAAGTACCTCTCCGAAAACATATATATAAAACTGGAATTTAAACGATACTTTTAGATACCAGTGAAAAACTACGTCAGAGTGCTTACTGAACTTATCAGTTCTGTGGATGAGGCTAAACAAAGCGTCAAGACTTAATACATATTGTAAGAACACTGACCGAATCTTCTGATTTTGCGAAAAATTTAATAACGTTTGGATTCTTGAGAATTTGAAATAGAGAACTTAGGGAAATGCGACGAAAACCTTGAAATTCCCCCTTGTCTGTGGTTTTCCTACCATTTCAGGTTACTTTGGGAAATTTCGGGTATTCCCCAAATTTTTCCCCAGACCTTGAAGAAATTTTTATGACTGGGAAAAACCCTAAAATTCTCCAGAATCCGGAGACTAGGTGAACCGTGACAGCAAAACTATAAGTTATGAACGACCTTACCCGTCCACTTAATAACTAGGACCAAATGATGGTTATGAACTAGAATTATGGTTTACAGTTGATGGTCAAGGTTAGGAACTAGATTTAGGGTTCTCATCATGAGCTGACATCAGCTAAAATGCAAAAACCCTATTTATCCACATGGACCAGTGAATTTCACGCCAAAATTCGAGACCAGTTATCTTGTGCCTGATTGCTTTGTCCGTAAATTATAGTGTCCCCAGCAAAACCTTTGTTCGTCTGACAAGTTAGAGGTGCTTATTTGCAGATAATACTTGACCAATCCTATAAATACCTATGTGGAAACAACTCCCGACACGGAACATTTATCAATGATAAATATGACCCAATCTCTCTATATTGGTGGAAATTCTGTCCGTTTCGATTACGTTTTGGAGAAGCTGCAATGGAAAACTCCGTACATTCTAAAGAAATGGCACAAAAACCTCAAAATTCACCTCAAGTCCCCCCAAAATAGGGAGGTTGGGGAGCGTAAAAGTACTACTAAAAAATAATTAAACACTAGGAACTAACCGTAGATATATCTTGCTCGACATTCTGTAGCTGGTTGAGGATAAAAGACCTCTCATCAAGCAGACACCGCATTTCCGTCTCAGATTGGACTAGTTAAGGGAAGAGAGAGAATGTATACATCGACGCCATTGTGATCGATTCTCAGCCATGTCACCCAAAGTCTCCACCACCATCCTTAAAGACCTCTGGAGCCAATCTATCT